GGTCACAGAATATGGTGTAACACCGGGTCCAATGACCGAACGAACCAGAACCAGCTTCCTCTGACCATGTTTCACAAACAAAAAGCAAAAAATATTAATCTCTAAACCTATAAAAAACCTATAAACATATTAATCTCTAAAAGTAAACCTAATGATCACCACAGCTGGAGGTGGTGCGGGGTGGTCGACCGCCCCACTGTTTTTTAGTTTCGTTTTTGACGTGCTGCACGTTTCTTTCACTTTTGCAGCTTATAATAAAATCTAATAGTTTAGTTTTTCCTGTGACTTATTGCAGTATGATAAACGGTAGGAGCATAATATACTCTCCCAATGTATTATGGGTCTTTTTTTGTAAATAGTTACCTTTATTGCGTTTTATTTTTTTTTTGTATCTTTAGATCCTATGATGTCATCAAGTACTCGAGTTCTACTTGAGTTTTATTATGTTAATGTCGAGTTTAAAAATTATGTAGTCGTTCAACCCCTAGTGGCGGCCATCTTGGATTTTGACGTGGCATCCCAAATTTTGATGAGACCTTTTCTTACGCTTAGCTGCAGTCACACACCAAAATAGAAGTCGTTACCTAACTTATTTTTTACGTTATCGCGTCACAACATGCACGAAGAATAATTTCCAGTGTTTGTCCCCATTTGCACTCCGCGACGGGGAACAAACATTTCAGAAGAAATTTTGAAGGTCGAAACAACTGCTGCCCCAATCATCACCTGTAAGCTTAGAAAAATGTCCACGCTTCGATGTATGAACATTAAAGGCTCGCCAAAACAACCAAAATAAAAGGAAATGCTAAAGTTTCAGCCAGTGGCTCACTGAGGGTCACCATGGTAACCACACACCTGCGTCTGTCACTCCCTGATAGCAAAGATAAGAGCCAGTATGCCTCAGGCAAACAGTTGCTGTACAAAAACTGTCAGATATTAAAAATTCTAACATTTTGAGCTGCAGGATGATTTTTATTTATTTTTTGCTTCTACAGCGTTTTATGTCAGAAATATGACGGTTTAAAGGGGATTTTTTTTTTCTGTTTTAAAATAAAGAGCCATAGAAGTCTATGGAAGCTTGGGTGAGTTCTCTCTGGATTTTGGGGGAAATGAGACAAAACCTTAAGTCCTAAAGAAGTCAGAGACAAACTGAGTGAAAGAAAACAGTTACAGGCTCAGATATTAAGCATAATTTATACTAAAATAGTTATATATATAGTTTTAGCAGAATGGCAACAGAGGGGCTTCAACACTAATACTAACATATATAAAGTAATTAAAGAGAACCCTTTGGTCCTAAATGAATAAAAGTAAATATTTTACAATTTAGTTTTCTTTATTCATCAGTTGAAATAAATAAATCAGAACCAAACATGTGGTAACTTGAAATATTGACGTGTGAATCAGTGAGCAGCTGTTTAATCACATAACATAAAACATATACTTTTAACCAATAAACAAATAGATTGCACTGAGTCTGACTCTACAGAAACCCAACATGTACCATCAAACCAAATAAAATCTGCACTTATTGAACCCCAGAACCAGATCAACCTTCCCTTCGCTGAAGTATGACGACTTCAGTCTTTTGTGAAAAATTACCATTTTACATTTGTGTCGAACAGTTAATGGCTCTAGTCACCGTTTTACCTTATCAAATCCATCCCCGGTGAATGCACCTTCCTGTTGGAAGGTTCACGGTACTTATTTCCCTGCACTTCAACCCTTTTACTTCAGACAGAATAAAATGGGAACAGATGCCATTCAGACATGAAGCTCAGTAATTTGCCGTTTTAAACCTTTTACAGCCTTATAAATGATTAACCTTCCAAGTACAATCACTTGTTTTCACGATGATTGTTGTATTTATACGATAGCTTTAGGCTATATACAATGCACAAGAAATAGTTTTTAAAGAGTCTATAAGAACAATAATTTTGACATTGTCGTTCACCTAAAAATATCCCATTTCTATTTACATGATCTCTGACCTGATCAGACCGTGTGCTTGCCAGGCGCACAAACGCCCTCCTTCCTGTGTGAATGTTCGTCAATCACCTCACGTCATCTCAAGTCCCAACCCTTAATTGTCCCAGAAAGTGCACCCTTACTTAGCACAAACAATAGTTCGGACCAAAATATGATGATTTTAAAGCTACAGTACGATATTTTGTAATTTCTTAAATGGCAACCCTGGTACAGTAAAGCTAGATGTCATTAATCTTTATTCTGGGCAGATAAACTATTTTTGTCCTTTATGATCTAAAATCGTTCCTTCGCCCACCTCAACGTGCTACGCTATGTTAGCCATAACTGTATGTTCAGTCCAGAGGTTTAGTTAGCTTAGCATAAAGACTGGAAACAGCTACATTACTGTTTGTATTACTCAACGGTTGCTCTTAAACAAAAACTTTCAGATTTAGTGTCATTGTTTTTGTGAAAAGACAACTAAAGCACCACATTTGTTAACTTTTCTAAGCTGCTCCTTAGCTTTAGCTTCGATAGCAAGGAAGTCGACCGTTTCTACTCTGAAATTAGAAATATACTAGACCCCCTCCAATAAATTCAAAGTACGCCTCGGAGAATTTGGGCTTGTGACTCTGGTTCTGAAAAATCCAACATGGCTGCTTTGCTAATACAAAGCGGAAACAGCTGCTGTAAATTTGTTTAAATGCGCTTCTGTTGGTTTTGTAGATTGTTAAATCAGTTTCACACACGGTACTGAGCAACCGCAATTGGAGAACATTTTTTACATCATTAAAACATATAAAAAATTTAAAAAGAACTCACAGTCATTGGCTCATATTGCTAACGGTTCTTCAGCTTTTATACAGACAGGAAATGCTACCACTCTTAATTGCCCCAAAGGGGTCAAAAATAAAATCAAATCCAATTTATTTATTGTTTTTTTTTTAACTTTGCAGTAAAGCTAGATGGATAATAATGTTTATCATCCATGCGTTGTTTTAACCAGTCGTCGTATTTTATCATTCCTGTTATTGATCACCAGCATGTTTCTGGTCTTTAAAGTTGCAATGACATGTTTCCATTAGGACCAGCCATGTTGTGAAGTAAACAAGTAATTAGTTTGTTCTTCCAGGCTCACAAACAGTCTGTTAATGCTCCTTTGAACCAACCTGAAGGTAAGTGTTGCATTAAAATAATCACTCTGCTGCCTCCGCACAAACCGGTTGTTTTAAACTTCCAGCTGATTTTAAAACACAAACAGAAGCTCCTCCAAACACAAACCTATCCTTCATCTATGCGTTTTTATTTAGTAACGGTGAAATGATGATTTATTCACCCTCCATCGTTCCCTCTCAGCTGCTGCATTACACAAACATTTCCTCCTGGTTGAAACATAAAATATTCAAGCTGCACAATCCAGTTTTCCAGGAACAGGAGAGAGGTGGCGCAGAGGTCAGAGAAGGCGAGCCTGTGATCTGAAGGTCACTGGTTCGAACCCCCCGACCGACATCAATATGTGGGTGTGAAAGGTGAAGCACCCACACCTGCCTCCACCATCATCTGCCTTACTTTGGGCCCTTGAGCAAGGCCTTTAACCCCACCATCTGCTCCTTCGGGTGCCCCGGATGGCAGCTCTCCGCTCCACACAGAGGGCTGTGGTAGCTCGGTGGTCTGTGGTTGGGTCAGGAAGGACATCCGGCGTAAAAACAATTGCCAAGTCTTCGTGTGAGTTAATTGGCTGAAGAAGAGAGCAGCCGAAAGAAGAAGAAAGAAATAATGTGTTGTAGCCATTTTAGCGTAGGCTAAAGTGGATTAGCTGTGGTGGCCATCTTGAACTGAGATTTCTATAGAAGTTGGTCATTTGTATTTACACATCCAGCTATTACATTTTGAGAATTTCATTTATGAGGGCGTAAAAACAATCGCCAAGTCTTGGTGCGAGTTAGTTCGCTGTGACGATTCCTGAAGAAGGGAGCAGCTGAAAGAACAAAAAAATTCAGTTTCCCAGGACTAAGCTACGAATGATAAAATCTATTAAATGCATCAAATTATTACAAAAGCTGTTTTCAAATAGTCAGACTGCTCAGTCCTAAAAGCCATACGTAAACTGTCCTTGCTGTTTAATAGTGATCAGTTTGTCTTTTTGTTGAAAAAAGAACATTATTGCATTTATTTGTTTACGCAGCAGCTTTTTCTGCTCAGACTTCACGCCTCCTCGTTTCTTTTTCATCCTCTGAGAACAGTTCGCAGATGCCCTGCGGGGTCCTCGTCTCGCCCACACAGTTTGGATCTCTTGCTGAGTTTGGAAAAATCTTCTCCAATGTTTATAGGCAAAAAAAAAAGAAGAAAAGTAGGATTTAAAGTGTGTTAGAAAAGTACCTTATAGGATTTCCCCTCGTAGAAACAAGGTTTGACAGAAAAGCACTCTGGACAGCATTTCTCCGGCAAGTGGACGAGCTCCGAGTCCTAAAACGAACAAGATTTACACAAATTTATTCAATTGTTTTCATAAAGTGCATTTTTCTTGTACACTGAGGTTTAAAACAAGCTACCATCTTAGTCTGATGTTATATACTTACACATATTGAATATTTTACTTGAAAATACAACGAGCAACAAAACATGGGAAAATTGAGTTTTATTACTGGAGAATAAAATTAGGGAGAGCATTTTAGCTGGGAGGAAACAAACGTGAACCAAACAAAATAAGGCCTGGGGAGTGGATGGAGCAATTCTATCCACCACCAGGAGCAATGGCGGAGCCAGGGGGTGGCTAGCGGTGGCCTTCTCCACCATATATTAATCTTTGGCCACCCTATGGGCCACCCCAATCATTTGAGGAAGCTGTACTTTTAAGCAATATAAAAACTAGAAAGCATAGATTCCTCCAACGATAGGGTGGTCAATTTACACACCCACATATAGCGGTGGCCATCTTGGATTTTGGTGTGGCAACCCAATTTTTGACAATGCCTAAAAACAAAAACACAGGAAGTGTCATTGTTTTTTTGTTTTTCAGCTCTGGGAGAGAAAACGGTTCAAGCAGCCTTAACTCTCCTGCTGTCCTTGGGTCAAAATGACCCGTGAGGCTTACCATTTTGATCCAAGGACAGCAGGAGGGATACAATGGAATAAATGTTGCAGCTCAAGTCGGGTGATGGAGCACCAGAGTGACAGAGTTTTGCGTTCAAACAGGCACTTTTAGAAAAACTTTGTCAACACCGGAAAGTTTACTGTCTGACTTGCTTTCAGTCCCATCGTCTGTTTTTGTAGAAAAACTGTACATTTTGCATTCAAGTTTTTAATCCAAGGGCATCTTACCCACCCCATCTGCTGATTAAATGTATTATTTTATGGATTATTATTTTTGGCCCAGTCTGTATGACGGCAGTTCTACATACTTCATGTTGTATATTCAACAGCGATTTTTTAGGAGCCTTCCGTTTTAAATGTCGCCAGGATGCTTTTCCCCTCCTTTGTTGGCATTTGAAGGTTGTTCACGAGTCAAAAGAATCAAACAATTTCTTCAGCCCATAGACCGGAACGTTATGAGTGCAGGAATCATAAACCTCTTAACTATAAATGTCCTCCGTTGCCTCTTCCTACCTGCTGACCCACACATGTCATTAAACCCATAACCTTGTCTCAACGCCGCTGCACACACTCGCAGAGAAAACTGAACGGCTCTGATCCTCCTCGCAGAGTGACCTTATTCATTTCAGCTTTGGACAAATGCCAGCTATGCTACTTAAAGCTAATAACACTTAGTGGCTTCAATTATCGCCATGTGGCATGATTAACGAGGGCTTATTTGGCCCTGAGAGGAGATATTAAGGCAATATGACTGAATGTGGGGAAACACTGGGTGAGGTGTGGGGTCGCCGTGGCTCTCAGCTGAAACCAGGAACTGAGATTCAATAAAATGTCTAACGATCCAGCGCACAAGGCTTCTGCTTCGTTTTGGGTCCGATTCCACATTAAGACAGTGATAATGGATTTAAATGTTTGATGCGCTGAAGGAAAGCCTTGCAGCTGTCAGGTTAGCGCGACTCATTTGTTCATGTCAAGCAGAAGATTTTCAGTTGGAGCCGTTCCACAGCTCATTAGTTTCATCTCGTCTTTTAATTTGCTGCATCTTAACTAAGATATTATCTCTGGCAGACCTTACAACCTTAAATGATCATTCGATTCCACCCACTCGGTTGATGCTAACCAGTGAATTTCACTGCTGAGACGGTAGGAAGCTGTGAAGAGCACCACTGATAGCTTCCATTAACTTCTTACTAACCTTTTAAACCAGGAAATGGGATTTCTGGGTGCTGGAATGTCACATTTTCTTAAAGACAATCTTGCTAACGCAGTCCAGCAATTTCAGTTAACTTCACTGACTCTGCATTAGCATTTGTTGCTAATCATGATGCTATGAATTTAAATTAGCTGTGATGTTTGATCTTTAGGGGTTAAAGGTCGGATGGATCTCCTGAATCGGTAATAAAAGTTTGAAATGAGCAGATTTTAGACAACAGGCTGACAAAACTAGTGAAATTCCTGCACAGCCATCTAAGCTGTGGGTGCAGCTGGGGACTAGTTTGTGGCAAAATAAAATACACAAGTTTTTACTTGGTTTGCACAAAATAAAACAAAATTTGCCGACATTGTGAATAAAAATCATCAAAAACACAGTTCTGGCATTCTAATTATGGAACTCCCTAAACTAAATCCAGAAGGGTTCCCGACTGTTTAGAGAAGCAACATTGTTACTTATTTATTTTTAACAAGGTTTTAAGACAACAAAAATTAAATCGTATCATCTAGACCGGTTTCTTTAAGTGAGAAATGTTTCGTTCCCCATCCAGAGGACTTCCTCAGTCTACGGCCTGCCAACCAGTGTTTCAAGCCAACCTCCTGCTGGAATCTCAGAAGCTTTGAACACGTGCAAAACAATCAATCATTATGTACAACAATTAAGTGTTTAGGCCAAATGGCCAACTTGCTACTCACAGAAGGTTTGGAAACATTTAAGAGACTTGCTAAAAAATGCACTTAGCAGATTGTTTCCAGCAGTCGCAGCTGGTAGTAGCTGAGGGTAGTTGAATTTATATCAGAGCATTTGCCTCAAAGTGGACAAAGGCCTGATGCTCAAGAATGCTCACTGCTGAGTGAGGTGAGCTGATACAAGAAGTTTTAGTTTTATGTTACTCTTGATCATGTCGCTACGTAACGCTAAATTATTCTTCTTTCGGCTTTTCCCTCTTCAGGGTCCACAGTGAGTCGTCCTCCTCCATCTCTGTCCTCTGTCCTCACTCCAACTACCTCCACGTCCTCTCTAACTGCATCCATACATCTCGTCTTTGTCTTTTTCCTGGCAGCTGCATTTCTAACATCCTTCTACCAGTATACCCACTGTCCCTCCTCTGGACATGTCCAAACCACTGTCCCTCCTCTGGACATGTCCAAACCATCTCAGTGTGTCCCCTCTGATTTAATCTCCCAGTTGTTCAACCTGTGCTGTACCTCTGATGATCTCATTCCTAATCTTCTCCATCCTTGTCACTCCTAAGGAGAACATCTTCATTTCTGCTACTTCCAGTTCTGTCTCCTGTCTTTTTGTCCATGTCTCTGTCTCCAGACCATACAACATAGCTGGTCTCACCACTGTCTTGTAAACTTTTTCTTTGACCTTTGTTGACACCCTTTTGTCGTTAATCACTCCTGAAACTTTTCTCCATCCACTCCATCCTGCCTGGACTCTCTTCTTCACCTCTTTACCACGCTCTCCATTCTCCTGGACAGTGGACCCCAAGTCCTTGAAGTCCTGCATCTTTGTGACTTCTGCTCCTTGTAGCCTCACTGTTCCACCAACTCCCTCTCATTCACACACATGTGCTCCGTCTTATTACGTCTGACTTTCATTCCTCTTCTTTCAAGTGCATACCTCCACCTCTCCAAGTTCTCTTCCACCTGTTCCCTGCTCTCACCACAGATCATAATGTCATCTGCAAACATCATAGTCCACGGGGATTCCTGCTAACCTCATCTGTTAGTAGGTCCATCACCAGAGCAAACAAGAAGGGGCTCAGAGCTGATCCTTGATGCACTCCCACCTCCACCTTGAAGCTATCTGTCACTCCTACAGGACATCTCACCACTATCCTGCTGTCCTCATACATGTCCTATACCAGTCTAACATACTTCTCTGCCACTCCAGATTTCCTCATGCAATAAAGCTGCATAACACTAAATCCTCTCGCTAAATTCACTACCCAGTGGTGTCTTTTCTGATGAACTTCAGCTCTCAGTTGAGTTTTTCAGACCTGATCCGTCCACCTCTGGTCATTAGGAGCCACAAAAAGGTCCTTTAATGAACGGATCAGCTGAGTTAAAGCAGCTTCTGTTCCGTTCTGTGATTCTGCAGGTCCATTTCTGGCTCAGCTGAATATGGCATGAGTCCTTTCACACACAGCGCGTTTTATATCTTACTTTCTTCTGACGTAGGAAGTAGAAGTACAGTAATTGTGCTCAAAGGGATTTCTGCACTCTCATGTTTCCAAAGATATGAGGATGAAAGTGCAGCTTCAGCGGGTCTGCGGACCGGATTTCATTTTTCCGTAACCTTCGATAAACGGTGCAAGAAGAAAGTGAGCCTTCTTTCACGTCCAAGGTTTATATTTCAGGAAACCTTAGAAACAAAAAACATGTGGTCCTGAGCAGAGCTTAACGCTGCGTCAACATTAAACAGATTTTCTGCTAAAGGTGCTCCTTTCACAAACTGCTTCTAGTTTAGGTTAATCTGACATATTAACTTACATATCCGACTGTCCAGAACATACGTCAGTTAGTTTAAACTGTTAGAAGTTGCCCATAATTTTGTAACAATAATAATAATAATTATTATTACTATTATTGTTATTATTATTATTATTATACTAATTTTCACTAGAAATTTGATAGTTTCTACATAATGGTGCATTAATTTGTATCACAGCTTTCAAATGATTCACGCTTTTATTTTGATTTCAATTATAAAAACGTTCCACATAGAAAAACAGATTCATTCAATAAAACTATTTGCAAATTCAGATTTTAGCTCAACTTTATCTGCTTTTAGCTAGTTTTTATCTTATTTGAACTAAAAGCAGCATTTAGCTGTAAGCTATCTTTTTGCTAATTTTGCCATCTAGCATCCACTTTCCAACTTTAGATTTTAGCTAACATCTTGCTTTATTTAGAAAGTTAGCTTTTAGTTAGCATTTTACTGCTTTTAGATAGGCTTTTGCTGCTGCTAGCTTTAAGATATAATTTTGTTACTTTCAGGTTTTAGCTACCATTTTAATGCTTATATATTTTAGCTACCATTTGCCACTTTATATATTAACAAGCAATTGGCTACAGAAAGCTTTTAGAAAATTTTAGCCATCCTTTTCCTACAAATAGCTTTAAGCTATCATTTTGCTACTTTTGGCTTTTGGTTCCATTTTGCCACCTTAGACTTTGGTTAGCATATTACAATGTTTAGCTTTTAGCTAACCTTTTGCTAATTTTGCCAACTAGCTATTTTGCCACTACAGATCTTAGCCAGCGTTTTAGCTTTCTTTAGCTGACTTTTTCTACTTTAAGCTTTTAATTACGTGGTTATTACTTTTAGCTAGCATTTTGCTATTTTTGGATAGGCGTTGGCTATTAGCATGTAGCTACTACATACTTACTTTTTAGTTTCCTTTTGCTACTTTTGGCTTTTAGTTTCCATTTTGCCACCTCAGGCTTTGCTTAGTGTTTTGCTCTGTTTGGCTACTAGCTATCCATTTGCTTTCATTATCTGGCTCTCTACTACCGTTTAGCTAATTTTGCTTCTTTTAAATGTTAGCAATTAATTAGCTACTATTAGTTTTTACATTTTGCTACTTTTAGCAAGTTTTTGGTTACTTTTAGTTCTAAGTTAATTTTTTACTGTGTTTAACTAGCAGTTTGCTACTTTAGGCTTTTAGCAAGCCTTTTGCTACTTTTCGTTTGTTGCTACGTTTAGCTAAACTTTTTCTACAGTTATCTTTTAGCTGTCCTTTTGCTAGTTGTGGCTTTAACACCTCAGTTTCACCGTGCCGCCTCAGGTGGTAGAGCTGATGCCTCTCAGAAAGGTCACCGGATCGAATTCCGGCCGGTGACATTTCTGGGTGGTTTGCATGTTTTCTCCGTTTGTCTCGTTTGTCTCTTTGTGTCTGTGATGGACTAGAGACATGTCCAGGGTGTCCCCCGCCTCTCGCACAGTGACTGCTAAATATGGGTACCAGTGACCCCTGAGACCCGGAAAGGAAGAAGCGGATAAAGATGATGGATGGATGGAACTCAGTTTCAGCCTTTTCAGTGACTTTTAGCAGTTTTCAGTCAGATTCTGTCACCAGAAGCTAAAACAGTTAATTTTCTTCACTAAATCAGCTAAAAGCTTTTAAGCTCCGAGCTGCTCCTGTTCTGATCTTCTTGCCGACTCATTAAAAAAAAAAAAAAAAAATCAACATTGTCGTTTTTTTCTCGTTCAGGCTCACCTGAGGACATTCCACCTGACCGCACTCCGCTCTCCGACAGAGGACCTGACCTCGGTTACAGGTGCAGAACTCGCACCCCGTGCCGTTCCACACGTCTCCATGGTAACGCACGGCGTCCTGGTACAGGCAGCTTCCTTTGGCGGGAACGCACTCATCGCAGCACCGACCGGGACGCCTCACTCTGGTCAGACCCTGCGAGGAGGCAGAACACGAACTTTTGGAAGGTTTTGAGAAGACTACATTCATTACGCTCTGGTGCTTTTCTCTGTCAGAGAAGGAGCGATAATGTGTGTTGCATCATTGCAGAAAAACTCAAAAGAACAATCAACAATAAAGAGAAATTATGTTTTAATAAAACAAAATGTCAGATGACGATTTACACCGTTTGTGAATAAATAACTAACGAAGGAAACTGGAACTTATTGGTTTGGCAGTTTTTTTATTCTTGTGTCTGGGTATTTAAGTGACATTTACGCAAAGATACTTATGATTATTTGTGTTTTGGGGGTATGTTTTACTTTAACATTTTTTACTGCAGAACTCTCAGACGTCTGCTCATCTTTAGTCAGATCCTCGTTTTGAATCTGTAATGTCTCGTTGATGAGGTCAAAAAGTGTCCTTGATGACAGCTTAGATGTACACATGGCTTCACCTTGCATGTTAAAGTTTTAAACGAAGACCTCGTGTAATCTGTAAGAGCTCTAAGTACCGTATGTGTTAGGAATAACTATCAGCAACTACCACACCAAATTCTATCTCAAGAGCTGATATGACTGTATAAAATTAACTGGGCTTTTTTTTCTACTTTTAGATTTTAGCCAAACTTTTATTACTTTCAACTAGCATTTTGCTACTTATGGATTTTTGCAAGCATTTTGCTACTATTAGCTTCTAGCTATATTTTTGCTACTTACTGTATAGCTATCCTTTTCCTACTTTTGGATTTCAGCTTTCATTTTGACGCTTCCAATTTTAGCCAGCATTTTGATTTCTTTCAAGCCTTTTACTACGTTTAGCTTTGCGTGAACAAGTTACTACTTTTCAGCATTTTTCCACTATTTGCTTGTAACTATAATTGTGCTATTTTAGCTAACATTTAGATAATTTTGCCCTTTTTTCCCCCACTTGAGACCCTTTTGCAACATTTAGCAAGCTTGTGGTTACGTTGCGCTACTACCACACCAAATTCTAGCTCAATATCTGTAAACGGTTATAGCCATTTAGTAGCTTAAAATGGGGTTTACGCCAAAGGTTATTCAGTGGTGGAGGTAAATTCAGTGATTAGTTTTATTAAACTGTCCAGTGGTTCATGAGAAATTTTGCTAACAAACACTCACAGACACACAGCCACCATGAAGGCGTGTGATAATCAGTTCTGGGGAGAATAGGAAGAACAGAACTGTCTGCTTGTTGTTGTCTGCTGAAGTTAAATCTTCAGCTCGACTCGGCTCACTTGGAGCCTCGACCCAGTTCGACCTAAGAACTGAGCTGGAAGCGGGTGGGGATCACCCAAAGGACAGACTGTAGTTGACTCGAGCAGGGCCAAGTCGAGTCCAGGGAAAAGGCCATAATTGTTGACAATAAATGTGTTTTAACTAAGAGAATCCAAGTCTAATTGATAGTCCAACGAAACCAGAACACTCTGGCTCCAGCTCCCCAGAGTCTGCAGCCATCGAGTCATTAGACACTTTTAAGAGGAACTGTTTCAGTAAAGTGCATTTTTCAAAAACTTATTACAAGATCATAAAAAAAAAAAAATAATAATAATCATGCGCTGTAAGAATTTGCATACCCGAATCAAATTACTCTGTGCAGCAGACCTCCACTGTTATCAAAAATCTATTAAAGAGTAAATGGAAACAGTGTTCCCCTGAGTGGCACGGCCATTCAAAAGATACAACACACAGTTTGTCTGAACAAACACACACACTGTCACGGTTTGTGGAAGACATGGACCCAGGGATGCAGACTGACATGTAGAGCTCAAATAAAAGTTCAAGAATAAAGCTAAAAGGCCGGCGTGGCAGCAAAAACTTGTAGAAACTGAGAAGTTCTCAAAGAAACACGAGGGAGAACCGAACACGGCATCAAGAACAACAATGACCCACTGCTGAAGAACGAGGACAGAGGGAACAAATGGACTGCGCTGATGAGGAGAGTGGAGACGGCTGAGGCTGAAGAAACAGTGAACAGGTGTAAGTGGGCAGGGCAGGAGCTCAGGAGCAAGGCAAACGACAAAAACACAGATCCTGGCCCACACACACTGTTTCAACAAAACACACGGCTACATTCGAAAGTGATCTCATTTTGTTCCGTTTCGTTCTCTTGGAGCGACCAAACTACAGGAACTTCTCCATCTTCTAACATTTATCCATGGTCAGGTCAATGGGGCAACAGGTCCAGGAGAGAAACCCAGATCTCCCTCTCCCCTGCTCTGGATCCCAAGGTGTTCCCAGGATAAAGAGGATACAGAATCCCTCAAGCGAGTTCTGGGTCTGCCTCGGGGTCTCTTCTTGTGTTTGGAAAACCTCTAAATGGAGGTGTCCGATCAGGTGAACCCCCTCAGCAGACTCGTTTTGATGCGGAGGAGCAGTGGTTCTACACCATGCCAAGCTCACATGTATGACGGAGCTCCTCACTTCATCTCTAAGGCTGAGCCCGGCCACCCTACGGAGGAAGCTCATTTCAGCTGCTTGGATCCAGGACCTGGTTCTTTCAGTCATGATCAAAACGTAGGAACGTAGACAGACCAGTAAATCCAGTGCTTTGCCTTTCAAAACTCTTTTGTCACAAGGACTGACTGAAACAACACCCTCATTACTGAGGCTCTGATCCGTTGATCCATGTCCCGTTCCATCCCACCATCACTCAGGAACAAGATGTCCAGATGTTTGAACTCCTCCACCTGAGGCTGACTCCCACGACATGGAGGGGACTTCCCACCCACTTTAATATTAACTCAATAAATGTCTTTATTACTGCCCACCACTGAACAATAGTGTTTTTGCTTGTGTGTTCATTTTATGTCTGTTAGCAAAATATCTCATAAACCACTTGACAGACTTAAATGAAACCCTCATAAAGTGATCACTGGATGTGTGTACACAACCGATCATCTTCTAGAGAAATCTCAATTCAAGATGGCCACCACAGCTAATCCACTTTAACCTACGCAACAATTGCTACAACTCATCCTTTCTTCTTCTTTCGACTGCTCCCGACCTGAGGAGTCGTCACAGAGAACTAGCTCACACGAAGACTTGGCGATTGTTTTTACACCGCATGTCCTTCCTGACACAACCGCAGACCACCGAGCTACCACAGCCCTCTGTGTGGAGCAGAGAGCTGCTATCCAGGGCACCCAGGGGGGCATATGATGGGGGTTAAGGGCCTTGCTCAAGGGTCCAGGCCAGAGTGGGGAAAATGAGGGTGGAAGCAGGTGTGGGTGTTTCACATTTTGATGTTGTCTGTCAGGGAAGTTGAACCAGCGACCTTCAGATCACAAGCCCACCTTGTCTAACCGCTGCGCCACCACTCCCACACAACAGTCAAATGTGCCAATACGGAGTTAAAGTTTGATCTGGTCACCAGCTGTTTACTAACAGACACAAGCACCATTTTATTTTCGAGGTTTAACCCAAAACTGCTGCAGTTCAGAGGATCGAGTTTGAAACAACTAGCAGAACGACCGCAACGCCCTTTACGAGGTGAACGACGCCAACACGCTCTGTATAACGAGCTGCGTTAATGTTTCATTTATCATTTTCATTTATCATGCAGCGTTAAATTCTCATCACATAACTACAGCCTGTTTGTTGCTGATGCAGCTGTGACCGTTAAGGTCAAAGGATAAACCTGACGGGAAGATGTTTGTTTTTTATTGTTTGTTTGTTTTCTCTAAGTCACGCCCGAGCTCAGAAAGGAGTTTGGGGTTAAATTTATTCTGTGAAGATCATAAAGTCAGGGTTTAGCTCATTTTGCGTGCAGCTCACAAACCGTTTGATTTGCGTGGAAGGACTTTTAGGCTCTCCGATGATTCTACCCACAACAATGGAAGTTGTGAGATGAAATCTGCATGAAATTTGAGATTAAACCTCAATTTGTGTGGAAGTTTTGGAGTATGTATATATAAGTGATTGCAGTTTTCATGCTGAAGACTAAATCTGCGAAGAGCGAGACTCGTGATCGGGGTTAATGAATCTAATTCCCACCAAAGTGGAGAAAAATAACTTTCATATCTGTGCATCTAAAGGACAGAAAGGGGAGTGTTTGTTAGATTTCTGCATCCAGCAGAGTTTCAGTAAGGCACGTGTGAGATGAGGTGTGTGTTGGCTCACCTTGTCGCAGACAACGGGCCGGCAGGTGTGTGCGTGGCATTTAGACTGACCCCCGTCACACACACACGTGGTGCAGGCGTCCCTCTGCCACTGCTCCCCGTGCTGCCAGCAGACACACAGGTTCACCTTCACATCCTCAAATACGGCACAAACACGGTGAAACCGGCGGCTCGTTTGAACTTAACAAGAGTTTGTTGTTCAGGAGGTAAAGAGAGAGCGTGTGCACATCCTCCAAACACACAACCTAAACATCAACAAGCTGAAAACATCTGACACAACCGAACCTTCTTCTTTTATCCTGCTTTAAATTATTAAAAAGGCTAAAACACTTCTCAGCACTGAGACAGAAAGCAGCAAAATCCAAGAGGTGCTGGACGTGGAAGAGCTCAACTTTAGCTGCTGAAAGCTTCAAAGAGCAACGAGGGTCGAGTCTACGGTGGCCGTGAGGTGTAAATAAACATTTCAAAAAACAGAATTATATTTAAAAAAAGCACAACAAAAACAAGAAGACAACAACATTTGAAAATCTGAAAAAACTGAATTATATTAAGTCAAAGCAGAAGTGACCAAAGAGGAAATGGCCAGAATCACATTTGAAAAAACGGAATTACATTTGAGAAAAAATTTAATTAATAAATGTAATAAATAAAAAACTTAATAAAGTAAATTTAAAATATACACACAAAACAAACCCCACCACTTCCGGTTTTGCTTAATGTAATTCTGTTTTTTTTTTTTCAAAAGTAATTTAGTTTTTTCATATGTAATTCTGATTTTTTCAAATGCGATTCTGGCCACTTCTGCTTTGGCCACTTCCACTTTGGCCACTTCTGCTTTGGCCATTTCCACTTTGGCCACTTCTGCTTTGGCCATTTCCGTTTTGGCCACTTCCGCTTTGGCTTAATGTATTTCCGTTTTTTCAAATGTGATTCCGGCCACTTCCGCTTAGGCCACTTCTGCTTTGTCTTAATGTAATTCTGTTGTATTTTTTTCAAATGTGATTCCAGCCACTTCCGCTTTGGCCATTTCCGC